CTTGTGCCCATCATTTTAACTGCTATTATTTCTTCCTCCACAAGAGTGGGTTTTGATACTGCAAGAGTATGTTAGTGCAGGTCTACAGGACTTGTAGCTGACTATCTTTCTTGTCAATCAAGCCACATACCCATCCCCAAAGGCTGTGTCACTTAACACAGGTAAAGCACATCTCAATTATAATTTCTGGTTTGAACCAACTGTTGGGAGTGGCTGGCCTTACATATTCAGACTAGGAAGAAGAATCAAAAATCTGCTAAGGTTTGTCCCTGCTCTCATTACAATGTGTATTTCTCCTCCTTTCTTCCTTTTGTCATTTACCAAATTCATACAGACTTTGAGAGGTTTTATTTGCATTTTTGTTGCTTATGGACACAGATCAAGAATTAGCAAGCTTACAGCTTACTCATTTTACAGACCTAAATAGCATCAGCTCGTTCCTCAAAGACCTTGAGATTCACACGATAGGCTGCATCAGACAGATAAAACAGTCCTGCCAACAATGGATAGGAGACAAGACTTAACAAACGAAAGCAGAAATCACAGCCTGCCACTTGATTAATCAGTGCCATTTGGAGTAATCTCTTGCCTCTTTCATTAGTAAACAATCTGTTACAGAGATATAGGAATTTGACATGTATTATTTTTACAAGCAGGCCTAATTCTATACCAGGTCCTCTGTCCTTCTGTCACAACATCTGTGTGTGCATACAGTAGGAAATTAGGAAGAGAGGCTTCAAGACATAACATCATGGAGAAAGAGGTGGCACAAGTTGGGTGAAGGATCCATCTTCAATTGTTTGATTTTATATCTTCCACTAAAAAATCAGGTGATATAAAGAAAGTGCTGAGTGGTTAGCAAGAAAGAGCAAAGTGATGAAAATGAACTTTCCAGCTCTAGAAGTAACATTCTCAAGATTTAAACCTTCCCTAACGTATAGCTTCATTTAGATACTGTTACCAATATACGTAGAAGAGTAACCCTAAGGACCAAGCAAATATGCTGTAATGAGTCAAATATAATCACTCTGTTTTTCTGGGTTTCAAAACACAGACAAAACATCATTTTGCAGTCTCTCTGTGCACTGGTGGAGTCGTCTTCCGACTGCTCAGCAGAGAATCTGAAAAATTGGGTGGTACATCAGGCAATAAGGTAGTCTAAACATTTATTGTTAAAAACAGAACTACCCATCAACCCATTGAAATTAACATATTTATTTCATCTGTCAGATTTGATTAATCTCTAACATAATCATTCTCATTCAACTTTGGACACCTCAGAAGCAGCCAGTATGAAACAACATAGCTCCACTCATGTCAGCAACCACATGAAATTTTTACTCCTGAGAGCCTGGGCCAGAGATATTCAGCAAGAACTTCAGACAACCACAGAATTATATCTTGAATATGATGCTTTTGTTCCCTAGCTCAGGAGGTTGCATTTTTCCACATTTTTGCCCAGATCACTGGAAACAAGCATCATCCCAACTATCTAAAGGATCCAAAGAAGCTGTATTTCTACAGAAAGGTATCTTAAGCTCAATTTGCAAGCTTGCTATTTGGTTTTGTTTTTATTGACACCTTCCACCTTCTAGCAGGAGAGCATACCTTCTCTAAGCTTGCATGGATCACTAACATCTGAAATCCAATACTGGATGTATTAACCACTGAAACCTGGGCAGTGCTGCAACCCACTGAACTGGTTTGCTTTCACTCAAGACGCATTCTTAAATAGTAGTATCACCAGTTTCCAACCAACCTGATGAGGTTTTGCCAAGCAACCACTTTAGTTACTATGAGACTAATGCATATGTGCACACTGTGCAACAGATGTTTGTCCAAGGTAGCATGGCTCAAGGGTAGGAACTCGATTCTCCTGGGACAGTATCTGCCTTCCCACACAATGAAGGGAGTCTTGAAGACAGTATGGCCAAAAGTAAAGGTTACTGTCATCAGAGAACATCCCTCCTATCATCCATCTAGCAGAGAGCATTTCAGGAGAATCTACTATTCACATTACAGAAAAAAAAGCCCTCAAAACATTACAGTTGTAGACCTGACATTTCATGTTTAATAATCAACATAGCAGCTTACAAAGTTTAAAAAATGACCAGTTACTGGCTTTGGAATAAAGGTATACTGTGAGATTGATTTTGTAACTCATAACGCTTGTTGAAGGCAAGGAAAACTTTGCCTTTTGGCAGCTTGACAAAGTCAAGCTTGACTTCACAAAGAAGTGCTCCACGTGAAACTGTCATCATCGTAGCATACTATCATTAACTGTTACATGAAAGCCACGTTTTCACTTACTTTGCAAACTGAGAAGGTTCATTGCACATATATATACACACACCTTTGGCTGAATTTTACTCTTGGAAGAATTTTTGTCTAATTCATTGACTGCATTGTGACTCTAGGATGAAGGTTTGTCACACTGGTTATCAAACGCATGTTATTCCCAAATGAGATAAAACCACTTTCCATTATGCAGTTCACTCCAAAGGGCGGGGGGGCAGGGGCGGAATCTATCTGGTACGTAATTCCACAGCATGAAACAACATCTACATGAACAAACAGAATAAGTCTTTATTCTAGCCAGGTAAACATGCAGAATAAAAGTGGAACTTTTAACAGGGAAAAAAAAAAATTCCCCATCACAAATTCCAAGGCACACTAGTGTAGGGGGCACATTACTAAGTGCAAAGCAAAAGCCATGCTCTTTTGGAAAGCTCACACACCAAAGCAAGTACAGCACACATGAAGACTTACCTGCTTATACTTCTGCTAAAAGACAAGACAAATAATCACGCTAAGTATATCTAATATTCATGTAGAAAGCATATGCATATCAGGCAAATACAGTGTTAATATCTTATTGTTTGCATTAGAAATGGCAATTTAAAACCAAGATACATAAATACATCACATTCTGTGCTTATCCAACAAAGTTCACGATTTGAATAACGAGACACTACATTTCTACTCAAAAATCAGGACAACTCTTAAATGAATGCATCCTGCTATACAGAATTATACACATATAAACTGAGATTACCAGTGATAAAGGTGAAAGCTGGCATGCTTGACTTTAGAAGCATAAAACTACATGAAATGGTGTTTTGGCTTTGTTTTTACACAGTACCTTTATATCTTTATATTACATTTATAACTTTTGACCTTATGTTTTCTGTACATTTGAAGTTCATTACAAATATTCAGAAGCTAAAATTTATACAGACATATATAATGGATCTTAGAATTTAATAATCATTAATTTAGCAATATTAAGTTGCAAGATCATTCTGTTTATATGCACCTGACATCCACATCAAGAGGACTTAATGAATTGATAGTATATTACTTTAAACCCTGTAGCATATTACTTCAAATACTCTCCATATTTTAAATTTTTTTCATTTGTGTATTTGGTTAGCTTTCTACTATTCCTTTTCTTACTTTCCACACAAGAGAGGAATGCATTTAAACTCTGATATGAGCTGCAAACTCAGGTACAGTTTTTGCAAGGTGCACTATACAGAATAACATACAATACCACCATTTTTCATGCACTAAATAGTACAAATAAGATTAGAACTGTTCCTTTCCTAATGCAAAATCCTGTGCTTGCACTGTGCTGATTTTGAATGGAACAATTTATAATTATCTGATTTGAAAGAAGGTCAAAAATATAGTATGTTGGGAAAATACAAGCACCAGGGTATTCTGTATAAAAGCATAGTATAGTTATTGTAGATTTAGCAGACATATCATCTGTATGAGTTACCTGGACAGAAAGTAACCATATGATGTGAAATAAACCATCCAAAAAGCAATCACACTATAGATTGGAATCACATTGCTTTCAAATTCATCCTGAACACCACTGTCTATATTTTTCCTTATCTGAAGGCAAGCAACAATTTTTGTTGGTCTTTTCAATCTCAGATATTTACCAAAGGGTTTTTCCAATGACAATTCCATGTTTTCTCTTGCAAGCGTGAACTCAGTCTAGTTTTTCACCAACATTAACGTAACATCCAAATGACTAGTTAGACCTTCATGAGATTGTGCCAGCTGTACCATACCTTTAGGTCATATATCACTGCTAACTCAAGAGTTCTATTCACCAGCATTGTTTGTATCAGTTTCTGAATGTAAGATAAAGCCTTAGTATGATACCTGGATGCTCTGGTCCATCCAGGCCTTGCTGTATGCTTTAATGCTCTACTTCACACTTGAAATTTACTCCAGATTCCCCATCCCCCCGGAATTATGCATTATAGGACAAAAGCATGAAGGTTACTCAAAGATCTTGTCAAAACACAAAATGGAGGAGTCCTGCATGAAGATACTACTATGCTTATTTCAAGAAATAGGCGTTTGCTAAACCAAATACAAGCAACGTGAGAGATAGTTCAACAATTGCAGTGAACTCACTGATAATGGAGACTTTCTGTCCTGGTCAATCCAGACACCTTCAGCATCTCTTTAATAATTTTGCTTTCATACTTTTGGACCATCATTTCCTTACAAGCGTGCCTACTTTATCAAAACATTACGCATAATGTAGCCCTTCTATTTTCAGGCTGTATCTATAAATGACAATTTCATTTATGTTTCCAATCAATTCATACAGTATTCATATTAGGAGTGCTTTAGAGCTCAAACTGATTCAGAATTCTACAAAACATAAACCTACCTGTAAAACTAAATCTCAGGAGCTGTGTCAGCTGCCTTAAAAAGTAAAACAACAAAGACACCGAGACTGCAAGCCACCCGTCGCAGAGCAATGCTTCTCTTCCCAAGTGTCTGACTACTTCCATTAAACTTAAAGCTCAACCTGCATTTTGTAGAAACGTTCACAAATGGTTAAATAAGATCAAACTCATAATCACTTCAAGTGCAGCCAGCCAAAGAATAATACTTTTATTCAGTGACAAGTCTCCCTCACCATTAATGAGCATTTATATTATCAATTAAAAAGCTGTTGTTCCACTTACTGTGCCATGTCAGATACAGCTGGCAGCGGCAACTCTTCTGAAATAAGGTCAATATCATCAGTGAAGCTGTTGGCCCGTGACATTTCTTCGGTATTCCCTTCTAAATGTCTTTTCACTGCACAAATAATTCAAAGAAATCATAATACATTAGGGAGACAACATATACAAGCTCTTTCCCCTGCTTAAGATACTGTGTAGTAGAATAAAGAAATGGTTCTAATATGAGACATGGCTTCCTTTTTTGTCAGAATCAGAGAAGTTGATGATTATAACATATGCCATACAAAAATATATATGTGCATATACATAGTTCAAATACACAGGAACCTCTTAGAAGAAAGGTTTGTCTTCCTGAGAACAGTCTCCCTGTAAGCAGAAATTCACCATATCCACAATTTGAATGTGGGCATGACAATAGACATAAACAATCTGACTTTCATTTCCTCAGTTAATGCTATTTGATATGTATACTTTAATTTCTTTAAAACCCTTCTTTAAAATTTTATTGCTGTTATCATATAAACAGCACTTTTGTTTCAAGTATTCTATTTGGTCACTATATTCACCAGTGTTCAAAAATTCTCCCATGGACCAGGGAAGAGCCTCAGGTGTTTGAATGTAGTCAGCTCAGCAGGGTAACCATGATGGATACAAAGCCGTACTGTAGCTCAGCTTATGTTCCAAGCATAAGAAAGCTACAAATTTCATTACAGGTTGGGAAGACGTATGATGGCCAATGAATGAAGGAGTTCACAGACTGCAAAAAAATGGAAGCACAGCTAGCCCTGTAACTGATGAAAACAGATTGATTATGCTTTAAAAAGCTCTAGCCCTAATACTCCTTTCTATCAAGTGTAGGGCTGACTTCTTCCACTGTAAACGTGAAGCATACGTGTACCTGCCTTTCCAAGTTCAGTTGCATCAATTATTCACAAGCAATTTCTGCTTTAAGGTCTTTTCAATACCTTTTCCCCTATTTGTTTTGTTCAAAAGCTATGAAGTACATCTAGCTTAAATTGCTGTGGTCTGAAATAGCAATTTTTTTCATGACTACTAGTGATCCTAACAGTTTCTAAGGAAGTTCCCTATCTATTTTAGTTTTGATCATTCTTGAAAGCTTGGCACACAGTTATGACCTGGCAGAGTCTAACTTGGAAAATGGATAGGATGACACATATAAATTCAAGGGAGAAAAAAGATAAATGTTTGCAGAGGGCTGGGAATCACTAAAATTAAGTGTCAAACAAAACAAGTAAAAGACTAAGTAGCGTCACTTACATATGCTGTGACGGGTAGGAAGAAAAAAAACAACCCACAAGACAAAAAGAAAGCTTGCCTCCTAAAAAACTAAATTGTTGAAGTCTCAAGCTAATTCTACAGCACCACTTTGGGTGGACTACATTCAAGCTAAATACTAAAAAGCATACAACATCAGAACTTACTATTGGAAAAACCATAGCGTAAATGGCAAGAAGTGAAAATGAAGTTGATGGAATATAATTATAAAATGGCATAACTGAACATAGAGTTGGCCAAAGGCAGAGTTAAGTCACTGTGCCCATGTAAGGCATAATCACATTAAAAGGAAAACACTGTATTGCTAGCAATTTCCTACTACACAATGGACTGCTGAAATGGGGGTTTGCCTCCTTTATAGCACAAGAGAGATATTAAAATTACTACAATGCATTTGTAATGATAAGAAGTAGGATTATATTTTATTTCTGTCATTTTAAAGGTTTGGTCCGTATTGCCTTATCAAACTTATCTCTGTCTCATCACACTGCTGTTTGCAATCTGCATCCATGGGTTTTAAAAAAAAAAAACACCTGTTTACATTTGCTTGCCAATTCCTTTTCTGAGAAGTGTTTACTACTACAATGGTAGTAACACTAATATGTTGCTCTGTTATAACATGCTAGTTATGAGAAAAGAGAGACAACAGTACCATGCCAGTTGCGAAACCTTCACTTTCTCATTATTCCCATTTGTGGGTGCTGTGCTGAGCGCTGCAGAGGAACTCTGCTGTTACTCCAGGATGTGTCTAGAACCCCTGCTTCTCTGACCATGGACCTTCTGCAGAGACATGTAGAATATAATCCTGGGCTTAATGGCCTCAACTGGTGCCTGGTTACCTACATAAGCGTGGCAAGCTTCTGTTCCCTCTTTATGTAGCGTAAAAGCATGCGAGTTTCCTGTTTGGTGAAGACTTTGCTATGATTATCTGTGACAGTCTTATCCCACAAGTAGTACACATACATTTCATTCCTACAAGCATTTTGAAAAAGACAGTGATGTGATTATGTCCTTTATACAAACAGGAGTTCTGGAACATATAGTCCATAGTTCATTTTATTAGTTGAATTGAAGATGTGCCCTTTGCTCCATAAAACTAAGTATTTGGGCCATGTCTCAAAGATTGCCTCCCTGCTTCCCCTCTCCCCTCCCATGCTTCCCACATGGTCAGATCTGTGGACAGAACAATTTTTGCCAGCTTGGTTACAGACCAGATTTATCTCAAAAACCTGCCTCTAGCATACACAAGCATTAAGAGAAAGAAGAGCTTCTCCTAGAAGTGCTGCTCTTAAGCATCAAGTTAAAGCAGAAAAGACAGCTCTGAGGCTCGTAATATTTGGGTGATCGTGATATTATCAGATTCCCTACTACTCTCAGAGCCACTTGACTCAATTTAGTGTCAGTTCAGGTTCATGTTTTGTGAAGTATTAAGCCACCACAAGAGAATACCTGTTTTATCCTTGTAACCCTAATAATAAAAGCTATTTAATACTAAATCCCTTTATGCTTTTATCACCCATTAATTCCATGTGTCCTACTGTAAAACATTAACCTGTTAATAATGTTTTCTGGTCCACACATCCAAACATTAATGTCAATGGTAAATGCAAGTAACATGTCCTATGTTCTAAATATTTTCTGTCCTTAAGGTGACTGTCAGAGTCGTGAGCATTT